CGTCATCGCAACAGTCTTCACCTTAAAAACAGAAACGGACGTCTTTTTCTTTCAACCAATGGCTTACAAATCAAAGTGCCACTAAGACAACCAATTAAAAAAAAAAGGGAATGTGAAGATGTGAAGAACAACCCTTGTGTGAAAGAATGAAGGCAACTGCAGGGGACGGTAAGCAGGTGTTGATCGTGCTCCTTGCTGCAGGAGTGCTATGCAGCTAGATAGCTTTAGTCATAAGAAGAGGAGGTTATGCCTTCAAAATCCCAAAAGGTTTTGGAAATTGCAACCCAGTGGAGTTCCTCAGGATCAACAATGACAGAGAGACCCTAGAACATGAGGTGCTCAGAACCTAAGGAGGTGAGTAGCACTGGAATTAGTCAGTACTGGGATGGGAGGACTCCTAAGGAAAACGAAGTTGTTTTCCTGGTGTTGGTGGACGAGTAGGTGGCTCTCCTCCCCTCTGGACTATTTCCTGACCAATTCGCCAGTATGTTGACAAGAAACACCATGCTGGAGATGCTGTCCTTGTTGTAACAATGAATTGAGCTCCTAAGTTTCCCATGAGTATACTCATAAGAGTCCTGGCTAGTCCTAGTGGAATCTAGTCCTGGCTAGATTCCACTCTGGGCGTTTACAGCTTGGCCTCCTTACAGATGCCTATTCATTAAACTGGTACAGTAAACTCTCACGTCTCCACGTGACCTACTGTGTACGGGGGCTGCTGTTGCAGAATGAATGCCACATGTCACCCTGGTGGCGGCTCAACTGCAACGATAGATGAAGTGATTCCCTCCCCGGCTATGTGTAAAGCGCACTGGAATCCTTTGGGATGGAGAGCAAGATTTAAAAGCAATTGATTCCTCCTGTTTACAGCTTTAAATGCATTTCCATACAGGTTCCACGTAGTGCCCTGTGGTGTGTGTTTCACTCTTCACACAAGGAGTCACTGGATGCCTGGGTCAAACTTAAAACAAAAAAGTTGTTGCTTTATTGAAGCTGAATTCATGGACTCCTGGGTGAGGTTCTTACATCAATGAGTTACTAACAACAGCTTAACAGGCGAGATGGGCCGAACGGCCTTCTCCCTTTCATGGTGTCATATTCCTCTGACGGCTCTTTGTGTCACATACAGTAGCACATAGCAACAGGTCACAGGAAAATCTTTACATTAACTTGCAAAACGCAGGGCAGTGTATATTGGATATTTGAAACACATTGCAGCAGATACAGTTCTTTAACTGCTACTTCCAACCTTAAAGATCATAAAAAAATAAAAGCAAAGACCAGACAGCTGTAGAATTACATGTTTTATTATATACTGTTTGGTAAATAGGACAGCCGATTATTTGCAAAGATGATGACGAGACTGTCAGGCGATATGTATCCATTGTAGAAAAAGAAAAGTTGTCCAATAATACAGGAATAATAAGAATAGTAATTGTATTAAGAATAGTAATGATAATCATGATAATCATAGGAAACTGAGTTATAATCCTAGTCATTTTAAATACATAGTTTATTACCTTACATACTTACTGGTGGTAATTTTGTGCTTTGATATGAGATCTGAGTAAATAACAGACAGAAGTGTATATGGTCCACCTCTTTGAAGTCTAGAAAAGTAGAGTATTTAAAATGGATAAGAGGAATTCATCTCATGAATGTAACACATAATTTGTTTTTTCCTCCCATGAATCGAGCACAGTAAAACAATCCAAAGTTCTGGGAACAGTCTGGCTAGTGTTGTGGTTATGGAGGCAGGATTAAAAAAAATGTGTAACTGATTAAAGGCAGGGGCTGGACTACTTCTCCGTCAGTCATAACCATGCAGCTTCACCCATTGGAGAGATTTCTCAGGGAGGGAAGATGAACAAGGTGGAGTGGAGGAGTTCAGAAAAGGAGGGATCGAGAAGCATATTGGATACCGTGGGCGTTCCCAGTCCTAGTGCCAGAGGGCCAGTACTGGTTTTCCAGGTCTCATTAACCTGAAGATATGGGAGAATCTGTTCAACTTCTCCAGTTGTAACGATTATGAGTGCAACCAGTTCATTAAAAACTGAAGATGCACCAGCCCCTGAGGGCCAGAATTGGGGACCTAGGGACTGCAGTAGCAATTTCTCCCCACCACATTTCTTAAAACCTTCCCGAGACACCAACTCATCACTCACTTCCTCCTCTAACACCAACATTTTTACAGATTATTACAGTACTTCAATTCTCGTGTGTGCAATTAAATGAGTCATAAAGCAATTAACGCCCACTTTTTTTCTTTACTGATATAGAATCTCACTAACGCCCCTCATGCATAGAACAAGGACAGACTCTGAGGTCATAATCTGTTGTTTCCCTCAATAACAACCAGTGTCTGCATGCTTCACCCTGGCGATAAGTCTGCCTTTGCCCCGATTTGCCCCTTGTGAAGTCTTGAGTCTGCATTGCCATGTGGCAGAATGCAGATTGTTCCCCAATATATCTGTTGCTCATACTTTTTCACCCACTCAAACAGAGCTCCTTGTACTCAAGGATGATTGTTTCAAGGAGTGGCATTATTGTACAGTATTGACATGCAATGTGGCAACGAATGTCATTTTTCTTTAAAAAGAGCTATTAATTCTGAATCCAGCATGTATGCAGTCTGATGGCACCATCCACGTCTCCTAACACCCACCAACGCCCCCAGACACCAGGACCCAGCTGAAGTCAGGGTGGTCACACCTGGTTTCCTTTCCCCTTCCGGATCCTCATCAGCCCTGACACATAAAGCCCCTCCCAGCCACACAACACACCCCCCCTCACACACAGCACTCCGCATTCTAGTAAACATTCTGTATAAAGTTGATCATTCGTTGTTGATCGTGATTTATCAGTCTTATACACGGTCTCCTCTATGTATTGTAATTGTGTTTTATCTTGTGTATTTTTTATTCATTGTTGTTGTCATCCTGTAAAGTGCTTTGAGAAGCTACCTTTAAAGGCGCTTCATAAAATAAAGTTTATTATTATTATACTGAATCTTCTTTAAGTTTTGTCCCGATCTGCTGGTTTGGGAATCTGAATAAGAATAGGAGGAAGAACAAACTGGGAAGTCTTGTCAAACTAAGCCGAAAAGTGTTGGTCTTTCGGCCCTGCCCCACAACAATCAGTTACAAGTCTTGCGTAAAGCAGATTCCATCCTAGGGTACCCTTCACATCCTTTGTTTAATGAATTCCAGCTACCCCTCTCAGAAGCAAATCCAGATTGCGCAATCTAAAAACAAACAGGGCTGAATTCTCATTTATACCTGTGGCCATAATTTCCAACAACAGATGATTCCCTTGTTCATGTTTATATGTATTGTCTGTGTGTTTTATTTATATTGCCTGCTGCTGCTGTAAAAATGAATTGCCCCTTGGGGATAATAAAGGCTCTCTCTTTCCCCTGCATGTGTCACTAAATTAATTCCATGAGCTGTTTTGCCCTGGTAGAATGCCTCCCGCTTAACTATGCAGTTCTGTCTGATTTGTCTTGTGCTGACCTGCCTTGCGTGCTGAGGACTACAAACAGCCACATTTGCTAGTAATGCTCTCAGATTCTCCTGTGGTCCTCCTTAAGCACTCACTGTGCACATCGTATACACATGTGTGTTTGACAAGCGTGAAAGCAAGGCTTGCTTAGAAGACTTATCATCTCAGAAGCTAAGCCAGGCTGGGCCTAGAGAGAGCTGGGACACTTGGAGGCGTCTGTTGAAAAACAGGTTGCTGCCGGTAAGTATAATTGGAGGACCTGTTGGTCTCACTCTTCCTGCAAGTCCAGAAATTCCCATACTAATGCCCTGCAGTCTTCAAAGATCTCTCAAGGGAAAAAGGGGTGCTTCTCTACGGTGTTCGGGTTCTGGCTAAATTCAAATCCGATTTCTCCAGTCTAGCCCACCTTTTTTACCCTGTTTGGTTGGAAAAGCCGAGCAAGATGATGCTGAAATTCTGTGCAAAATCCCTCCAATCTGTAAAAGATGCCTTCCACATGAAAAGCACAATTTAAAAGCAAGGTATCATCTTTAGTGTTGTCTAAATCTGGTGTTTCTACCATGAACATACCTGCATGTATATTGCTACAGCAGAGCCTATTAACGAGTGAAAGTGAGCTGTTCTTACAATCCTTCCATGTGTCTTCTTCCTTCCTGTGTGCAGTTCACTAGTTCATAAGGGAGATCGATACCCTGCTCGACTGGCCCTGGTTCCTAATCTGGGAACAATTTCCTTCTGTACACAAAAGCCCTGGTGTAACACGCCAGTCAGCAGTATCTTTCAGAAGGTGACTGCAGATCAATGGAGGGGAAGAAATTACATTTTTCCTGTTTCGTGCAGCGAACCCCTTAAATCGATGCTGCATACATCACACGTTACATTGAATCTGGCTCCTGCTAAAGACCCTGGGTCTGTATCTGCACACGGTGATCCCTCATTGCAATATAATCTGCCCCAGCTTTCAGTTAACAAGCAAACACAACCTCTGAGACACAACTCCCTCAATACCCAGTTTGTAAACTCAGCGACGCCAGTACCATCCCCAAAACACAGACACGCCCTCCAAAATAAAGAAACTTCACACCAACACATTTTAAAAGCAAACACACAGTGGGAAGAAGACATGCAGAAATGAAGACACACATGCACTACATGAGACAGAGACCTGCATGAAAGAATGACTCGTTTTTCACAGGTGCAAGAGCAGCATGAAAACATTTGCAATCACTCAAACCTTCTACCTGTGCACACGGATGATCGACTACCCCCCACCCAGCCCCCCAAGTGATGTAAGCCCCCACCCCCCCCAAGTAAAGATACCCCTACATGTTATTTTTCTGTTTCTTAAAACTAGAAAGATACATTCTCCTGGAAATGCACTGTGTCTGCAGTCCTGAAAAGACTCCAGCAGTTGACATGTCGCTACAGTAATGGTGGAGAAGCACTAGAATTTCTAAAGATGGACGAGTCTGGTGGGAACAGTTCAGGGCTGTTCAATGGAAATCCTCCCGGCTTGTAAAATGGAATTTACTGTTGCCAAAAAGAAGGCCTCTCTCCAGGCTTTAGCTTGGAAAGCTGTTTTTAAGGAGTCTTAAAAGAGTTCCTCTCTGCAATTAGCCTTGATTTCCACGATTTCCCCTTATGCTAATGTATATTTGCTTCCATGGTGTATTTGTCCATTGACCCTTGCGCATTGTCTTTGTGTCTGATTTTGTATTCCATTATGGAGCAAAAGGCCGTTGGACACCTTGAGACTTTGGTAATTCTCGGAGGGCTCCGCCTCCCTGCCCCTTTCCAATTGGCTCAACAAGTGAAATCCTCGAAGTTGCCCCGCCCTGGGTGATGAGGTAGCAAGTTGCCGGGATACGATGGAGGGGGGCGGGTGCTCTCACAGGGGGCCTGCAGGACAGAGAGCAGAGAGAAACCCCACCGTCAGTAAGAAAACAGCCCAACAGCCCCAGAGCTATAACAGGACCGCACTGGCCTCATTAATCCTGAAAAGGAAGAACACACACACTATCTCTTAAACTATCTCTGATAAAAATAATGGATTCTCATTCTTATGCTGCCGAGAATCTCATTGTCTTACACAGTCATGCTCTGCAATACGAACAAGACTGCTGCCTTCTCAATCCCTGCACCTCCCCCCTGCCTTTTCCTATGAAATGAGACTACTACCTTCTATCTCCAGTTCTGTCTCAGACTTTCATATGACACAGCCTTCCTATTTTCTCATAAATAACTCTCCTGTACTCTCTGTCTTCCTCGCTGTCAGGCTAGCTGATGCAACACAGATCTGCTTTTTTCCCTCATTTAATGCTCCGTTCTGTTCTCTTCCACACTCTGGCTCTTTAGCATTTTATAAGGTTACAGTCTGTTCTCTTCATCTCTCACTGTCATTCTCCAGCTCTCCGGTATGACACGCATGGCTTTTGTTAGGCTTCTTCAGCAATACAATGCAAGACTGCCTTCCTGCGATGTCACTAACAACCCCAGCGCTGGCACGCTCCCTCTCCCTTTGTCCTGTGTTCCTCGGGGCTGCTGGCGGTGCGATGGGGCAGGGGGCAGGGGGGGTCAGGCTCCTTCAGAGCAGCACAATACCAAGTGATAGTTACTGACGTGACGTTTCACATCGTCCAGGCTCAGGACCACGCCCCCGTCGTTGTTGTTGCTGCGCTTGTGCTTTTTCCGAGAGCACCGGCACACTTTGTACTTCACCACCTGGGAAAAGCGGAGAGGAGCAACAGGAAGCAAACATCAATCAATTATTCCGCCAAGGAGCTGTGCTGATGAGGGGGACAGAAGATGAGAAGCACCTCTCCTTGTCACTAAACAAGAAGAAATCGCCAGTTATTCCCCATTTCCTTTCTAATATTTATGCAATTTTGTACCCAGCAGAACTGCACGCACTCACACACGCATCCTCCACGCTGTCACATTCATCTCCTGCTTGTTAGGAACGCAAATCCCCCATGGTAAACAGCACAGCCAGTCTCAGATGGTTCTGGCTGAAGAATCTGCTCCAAGAAAAAGGCTTTCGCCATGCATACTTGCAAATGCCCATTTCAGGGCTGGAGCCAGATAGGAGCAGCCTGGCACAGTGGAAGGCTACACCAGGGCCACTGGGAGGTCCGTGAACCAAAAGAAAACTGATCCCCCCGCAACACAGGGAACACTCGGTGTCAGAGATGCAAGGGAGAAAATCCTTTTTGCTTCTTGTTGCTCGCGAAGCAAAATTATACTGAAGCAGTCCTGGTCTAATCTGATGCTGCTATGTTAGGAGTAGCTCTGAGTCGAACGCTCATCTGCTGAACGAGTTTTGCCGACACGTGTGTTTTACAAGTCACGCGGAAGAGGGGATTGAAGAGCTTGACTGTCAGCTGTGAGGCCAGCATTGGTCACCATTTTTGTGGACCTTAACTTATCCACCCTGTTATCCTTAACGGTTGTCCACCCTGGTAAAGCACAGCAAAATGTGGCAAAGCAGACCTGAATCAGGGTATAATCATGGTGCAGCAGCAAGAAGCTCTTCAAAAACATGATAACATAACCGTAAGAAACCATACTGGTGTTAGCATAGAAGTCAACTGTAAAATTGCTACAGACATGTCCGACAGTAAAAGGCACACTACTGTTATTAAGAGATACTAGTAATGGTAACAGCGTAACAATTCCTGAGAAAGCAGTGAGTCCAGGTTTTAGAGTTAGCAACAAGATCAGCAAGATCATAATTCTGAATGTATTTATCCAAAGGGAATTACATTTGCATCTATTCATACAGCTGGGCATTTTACTGAAGCAATCTGAGCAAAGCACAATCACACAAGGCTACAACAGCTAGCTTCCCATTCAGGGTCCGAGTCCACAACTTAAGCATTCCTCCCAGATGCAAGGGGAGTTAAACGATTCTGTCTCCAAGGGCTCTCCAGAATAGCGAACAGACACACTGCTGCCTGCGATGCTAATTTTGCTTCTATGGAGGATCTCAGTAAAAACGGTTATGGCTATGGCACTGTACAATTGATTCTGAATTAGGAAGATAACTGGGGTTTACAGTACGTGTCTTATCTGCGCGCTCGGGTCTGTGATAAAACCCAGCTTGACGATCATGATCAGCCACAATGTATCTCAGCGGGGGCACAGAGACAGCAGCACCACACCTGAGCAGTAAGGCTCACTTCACTATCAGATACACTGTTTCAAGAATGAGACAATCACACAAGGGTTTTGATTAATGATAACAACCAGACGGGAAGCTGGCAAGGAGATAAGCCTGAAGACTTTGCGCTGTGCAGCAAATTGTGATTTTGATAGGTAAGCCTCTCTTTTGATTTTCTTTTCTTTTTTTTTTAAAACACAGGCAGACTTTTGCAGGGTGAGTCCAGAGGACTAGAGGCCAAGTATTGATTCAGACAAAGAGACGAAGCCAATGTTCTCTGGCAAGGAACTGAACCACTCATCTTCAAACTGACAAGGTGGACCATTTTGGGGCAGATAAAAACAGAAACTGTGCTTCACGTGTCAGGCCACGCACATGTGTGCTCTCCAGCACAAGCGAAGCAGCTGTTAAAAAGAGGATTTAATTAATAATAATAATTCTTACACTCAAATAGCGCTTTTCTGGACACTCCACTCAGAGCGCTTTACAGGTAATGGGGACTCCCCTCCACCACCACCAGTGTGCAGCCCCACCTGGATGATGCGACGGCAGCCATAGTGCGCCAGAACACACCAGCTCTCAGTGGGGAGGAGAGCAGAGTAATGAAGCCAGTTCAGAGATGGAGATTATTAGGAGGCCATGATTGGTAAAGGCCAAGGAGAAATTTGGGCAGGACGCCAGGGTAACACCCCTACTCTTTTTGAGAAACACCCCGGGATTTTTGATGACCACAAAGAGTCAGGAGCTTGGTTTTACGTCTCATCTAAAGGACGGCGCCTTATTATAGTATAGTGTCCCCGTCACCATAATGGGGCATTAGGACTCACACAGACTGCAGGGTGAGCCCCCCTGCTGGCTCCACTAACACATCTTCCAGCAGCAACCTTAGTTTTTCCCAGGAGGTCTCCCATCCAGGTACTGACCAGGCTCACACATGCTGAGCTTCAGTGTGAGCTACAGGGTGATATGGCTACTGGCCATCTTGTTTCTTTCTCTTCTTGGCCATCTTGTTTCTCATTGACTTTTAGGAAACAAGACTTTTGTGGGAGCTACTGTAGGGCCAAGGCACCACTCAGCATCACTTAACCTGCCCTTGACCTGATCTGTACGTGGAAACGCTGCAGGGGAGTGCAGAGCAGCAGAGGAGATGAAGTATGATATACCTCGTAAAGATAGTCGAAGAGCTCCAGGATGGTGAGGATGCTGGCGCCGATGAAGAGGCCCATCTGACCACCGATATCACCTGGCAAGGGGTATAGATAGACACTGGTTACACACAGGGATGGAGGAAAAAGCTTAAAATGCCACAGTGCATCCCAACTCAAATCTGAGCTCCACAACACAACAGTGTGAACAGTGCAGACAATACAGGACAGAACACCAAACACAGCAGTCAAAGGCCCACACTTCACTACACTGGCCAGCTGGACACCCTCACCCTGGCTATTGATCCAGGGAGCACAAACACTGGGGCTTATAGTCTATTATAGGAAGGTATAGCAAGATCTCTGGTTTCATCTAGGACCACAATAAATCAGATATATTTCACACAGGTTTTTGTTTTTTAATTTGTGTGGCCATTTCAAAATTAAGGCCCGTGCTGAATCAGTGATAAAGCCTTCAGTGTTGTGTAATTGAGCTTTATTTTACAATTGACAGAGCTGTTACAGGCAGTGTTCCCCAAGGTGCTGTTAACACCCAGCCCAGGGACGTGGGCGTGTCTCTGCTTTCCCAGCATGATCACAGCTGGGGGGGTGACCCTTCTCCCCCTTCCCAGCAGCCTTGACGCCGTCCGACAAGACCTCCCCTTTCTTTAACCTGGACCCCAGTTCGCACTTGTACTTTCAAATCTTGCTCTGGCTTTAGAGGGAAGTGCCATTTATATGTTTGTATAAACAAATAAGCTTTTTCTTAACACTGAAGGGCTTGCCATTTAATTCGCTTCATTCGAAACAGTAAAACGCAGGTAAGAGATGCAGAGAACATTTACACATTACTTTATTGGCACTTTCTAACTGATTTGTTCTTCCAAATGCTCTGGATTTATAAGGCCATTTCTGCAGGCGTAATAAAAATAAAAAAAGGTTCCAGCTCCTTTGAAGCTATTAGTGCTTGTCGTTAAGACTAACAAGGCAACACTGAAGATTAACCTTGAAGTGTCCGGCACCAAGGGAACAAGCCCCTGCAGTTTTTGTCTGTTATAATCTCAACGTGGAATTCCTTCCTCAATATGTTTCCCCCTTTAAGATCTAAGGAGATCGTTAACTTGCTGTTCAGCCGGACTAATGTTCATCGCAGTGGACACTGGAGAAGGAATGATTCAGGTGGTCTCCACCTGGGCTGGTTTTGTCATTGCTCTCTGTTCATTAAAGGGATTGCTAGGGGCATGATCTGATCCTTGGCAATATTCCTATTCTGACCTCTGGGGCTCAGTCCTTTATTTTGAGTCCTTTGTCAGACAGATCAAGCTACGTCTCGCTTTAAAAAAAAGGCAGTTAGTAAAAGGTAAAAAAAAGTAAAAGCATTCTTACCCAGCAGTCCTGCCACCTCGTAGGCTTTCTTCTGCTCAATGGTCTCATAGTTCAGAGCCTCGAAAAAGATGTCAAGCACCAGGATGTTATCCCTGTCGGCACAGGAGGCAAACCAGTCAGCATTGATTCTGGGAGACCAGTGAAATACTTTAACATCATGTTAAATAAGCAAAGACCCACATTCTCAACACATCTTTTGCATAGCACCAAAGTGTCTTTCTAGTGTTCAGTTTAATTCAGGTGTGAGTGAAGGAAGGAACAGGACAACAGCTCAAAGATGAGATACAAACTCAGAGAGACCAGAACCACGTGAAAGTTCTTGGAGCTCTTACTCAACTGGACCCATTCCTCTACAAAGGGAGACTCTTCTGACCTTGCCCTGCTTCGCCAGGGAGACAAGAGTGAAAATGAGGCACAGAAAGAACTCTTTTCACCCCCTGCAGCCCCTTGGAACTGTGTGCTCTATAACAAAGGCGCTCTGCGCCCTGTGTGTGTTGCTGTGAAATGTCCATCAGGCTGGGGGCCGGGTGTTTCTGATATGAAAGGAAGTGCATAACAGGTTGAAAATACTTTAACTAGGTGGCATAGGATGGTTACTCCAGGGCTTAATGACACCCCAGGCAACCAGTTTTATGGTCATGACAGCTCTAGAAGGAAGGGGGTCCTTCCTTTATTTTAAAACACAGAGCTGGGCTCTGGAGACAGGCTGTAAATTTCATCCGGCCACGCCAAGAGGACAGCCCAAGGATACTCCCTTTGCCAGCACTTTATTCCTGGAATATAAAACCTGCCCAAGGACAGCCTGTTGTCTCATCCCTCTGGAGGTGGAACGGGCCCATACTTATTGGGGCTTTTTACTACTGCAACCCAGGGACTCACAAAGAACATCCATCTCAACAGCTACACAGAGAGCCCTATGGTGATGTTTTAATGCTGACTTCAGGAATGTAATCCTGTCGTTCCCTGCGCTAGCACTTCTTTTCCAATAATCACTCCCACTGGCATCATAGCCAGCATCAATAGGAGGCGATTATATACCAACACCTGTGGAAACAGCCAATGGTCTTGTCATTAAGAATATTCTTTATTTTAATCCTATCTGTGCAATTTAATTTTAATTTAATGTGCTGAATACTGACAGACTTTAAAGTTCTTAAACCTTTTACTCAGATTTTATAATAGTTTCCATTTCATGTAAGAGACAAAATTGCTTTGATCCTCTTTCCTCGCACTAGTCACACTCTAATTCTCATGCATATATACAGGCTATAATATTTATCTACATAGAGGAAAACTGCAGCCCTACCGGAGGTTTGAATAATTGAAGATTCACAGAACCGGAAAAATCGTTTCTGTGTTTTGCCATCATCATTTTCCTCCTGTGCTCCGTGCACCAGCACTCAGGTATACAGTATACTTGAGAAAACAAGTTGACAGAAGGAAAGGGGTTCTGTCATGAGTGGCTGCAGTTAGGCACGTCCCAGAGTGCCACACTCTTCCCTGGACGGCTTCAGCTGTATTATGTTTGGGACTTCAGGGTGTTTCTGGCCCTCCAGCATATTATTTTAAGCTTTTTGCTGCCAGAATATGAAAGACGAGGCTTCAGTCTTCCATTCAAACCCCACACGCTGCTCTGTGTACAGCCTGCCCTACGCTGACTTTAAGACAGTGCTTTGCTGTAAAGGCCATTGAAGACACTGTGTACCACCAGACATTGGCAAAACAGCACAAGTTATTTTTTGTAGTAACGGTAAATAACTACTCCAGGGCGGTCATTTGAAACAGCTCCACACAGTGCCATGACCTCATTTTTTTATCGGTGCACTTCGCACAACTGCTGCTCTATTTGCCCAATTGCGCTGAAGTCAAGGAGCCAAATTCCCTTTTGACTTCTTCAAGCTTCAAGCTCTTCAAGCTCTTTTCTCTCTGTCAAACACAAGGAACCCTCACTGCACGCTTCAATTATGGGATTCATCCACCGTGCACACGAGCCAAGCGTGCTGCCGCGCCCAGCTCCAGGTCTCAGAAGATCTTGACGAGCAAGGCAAATCGAGAAACTGTGAGCGCAGTTGTGCGCTGCAATGGCAGTGAATCTGCTGGCACTCTCTGAGCCTCTGTACCGCATCTGTCAGCCCATGCCCATACAGAGCTATTTGATGTGAGTTCTGTTTCGGGGTTTTTTTATCATTCCCCCCCACCCAATCCGGGAGATTAAAGCAGGCCAGAGAATGAGATGGCGGCTGCTGTTTCCAGTCTGCATAGCCCGCGGTAACGTACGCGATGTACTGCTCCGATTTGTTGAACTTCTTGGCCAGGTATTTGGCCGAGGCCTTGCTGGGGATCTTGACGAAGGACAGCTCCTTGCCATAGCGTGTGGTGTTGCATGGCGTCTCGCACACGCAGTAGTTGTTGTCCTTCTCCACCAGGAAGTCTACGGGGAGAGGCGAAACGTAGAAATACTGTGACTCGTGACGGGATCTATGACTACCTGTCTGCACTGTGACTCTTCCCTGTTGCTAAAAAACGTTGAAACTTAACACAGTATGTGGAGCTGCAGGCTTGTGCAATGTACTTAAACAGGAGAATAGTATTGGTCCACCAATGCTTAAGTAAACTAGGCTCTGCAGTGCCATGCAGTAAATTACCGCGGTAGAATTATTTAAACAGGCCAAGGAACATGCAAACCAGTTTCTTGAATTAGGTCGGCAGGTCTTTTGGAGCTCTTACCAAGAGCAGGGTCAGCGCACTCCTTGTACTGTTCCGGAGTGCAATAGGGAGCATCCCCTACGGACAGAAAGAGGGATTAGCCATCGCAGAGTGCTGTTAAATATGTATTCATAACCTATATGTTCACTGATCAAAATACAAGTAAGTGAAATGCACAGGCGCAGGAGTTAGACTGGCGCACACAGCTTGTCCCCAAGGCCTGCTCTCAGCAACACTCCCAGCCCTAAAGTCACAAAGCGTCTCCCCCAACAGAGGTCAGTCCTGCTATGTCAAATTCCCATCAGCTACAACTGAAGAGCTACAGTATTAGTGGTAACATCACAGTAACACAATTGCATTGTTGACAACCAATGCATGGTTGACGTAAGAACATAAGAAACGTTATAGACGAGAGGGTCTGTAACCATCGAGTCTGTGCAGTAGTAAAATTGATCTCAGCATTTCATCCAGCCAGCCTTTCTTGAAGGAAAGCAGAGTTTCAACCACACGGCTGTGTAGCTTGATCCAGACTCCTTCAGCCCTTCAAACAAAGAAGGGCCTCCTGTTCTCAGTGTTAAATTCACTTCCATATATAAATGTCACGAGGGGCATTTGATTTCCATCACTTGGCATGGCTATCTGCAGATCTCAGCCCTGCTAAAAACTGGTGGAATGTGCAGGTCCATCACACCCACTATCACAAGTACTACAACTGGATGAATAAAGGCCAACCTGTTTAGAGCTGTAAATTGTTTGGAATATTGTGAAACACATGTAATGTCCTGTTCAAGCCACTGAAATGTGGCCTTAGTTTCCTAATATTTCGGCCAGTGAGTGTATATTTAAGCAGCAGGCTCCAAATGTATTCATACCTACGGTACGATGCCGTGTAATAACTGAAAACATTTAGCAAAAAATAATGCAGATTTACATTCAGAATTTGTTGCATAAAGAAAGAAATGTAAGACTGTATGAATTGTAGTGGACATCATCAAAATAAAACACATTTTATCACTAAGGAAGCTGCTTGCAGTCTGACGTCAATCGTTTTTTTTTCCTCTGCCTTTGCTGATCTTCGTTTGTGCCGACTGTATGCACTGAGTCCCACCATGTGGCAAAGATTGTCCTGAGAAGGGTCCTTCATGCCCTGTACACTTCACTATCTTCTAATAGCCTTTATTCAGAGTATGATGTGGAAAACAGAGTAACGGATGATCAGGGGTTGCAGGAACCACTGTCAGTGTCACTGCCTCACTAACTGCCTAATACTTCCTAACAGGACACGCTGCGGCTCAGTCGGTATTGACCCCAGGCACAGCGCTCTATCCCACCTCAGTGCCTGGCTGATTTACAGCCCTGCCAGCTGTGGTCTCTCCGCCTCTCTGTCAGCGTCCGGCCGCCTGAGAAGGGGGAGCAATGGCCAAGGGAGTCGATAACTGGCCTCACTGCCCGGGTGATGGCTCTGTTGCCCCTGTAACGCCCCAGAACAGCCGTCACCAGCCCACTGGGTTCAGTTCCTTGTTTATTACGCAAGGCGCCCTTAGAAAGGCCGGACGGCGTGAAGTTTGGATTGTTTAAAATTCCATGATTGTGTTTGATCTGAACCATTTTGCTTGCTCTCCTAGGATGTAATTCCCCCATTGCATACCATTGTGAAAGAGGACTGTATAGAGATTGGTATCCCTCTTTTTTCCAGCTTAGAAATCTTTTATGAAAATGGAGTTCATGTGGCTTGGATGCAAATCATTTAGTGTTGCACTACCTTCTGAAACCAATATGGCCAGACATTTGCTAAGCCCAGTCCGTGTGCGTCTCTGGGGTCACAGGAAGAGCTCCCAGTGTCTGTGTGACTCTGGGGTCACAGGAAGAGCTCCCAGTGTCTGTGGGGTCACAGGAAGAGCACACAGTCCCTGTGCATCTCTGGGATCACAGGAAGAGCTCCCAGTGTCTGTGCTCCTCTGGGATCACAGGAAGAGGTCCCAGTGTCTGTGCGTCTCTGGGATCACTGGGAGAGCGCTCAGGCTCTTTGCCCTTTTGGGATACACAAAGAACTCTCAATCTCTGGGCATGTCTGGGATCACGGGCAGAGCAGTGCCTGTGTTCCAGTCTCCCTCAGAGGCAAAAGTCTTGAGCATTGTCCTTCTCACTCCGATCAGCATTTACCTGGCATGTGGACCATCCGGCAGTTGCAGTTCTCCACGAGGTAACGCGTCTCGCAGTCGATGCGGCACGCCGTGATGCTGTACGTGTCGAAGAAGTCTGAGTCCATGGGGGTGGCCTTGCAGTCCCCCCAGGGCTGGGGCAAGTACACCAGCTGAGAACATGTGCACACAGGTCAGAGGTCAAGGCCAATGCAAAAGAACAGAATTCCCATCAGTAGTGTCAACTTCCAATGTTCTAAGGTTCCAGGGTACTTGAGTAACAATTTTGGCTGAATATCTCGATTCATTTAATAATACAGTAGGCTGAACTGCACTTTATATGTACATCATATTAATTTAATATTTAAAACCAGGGTTCTAGAGTCTAGTCCCCCAAGACTGTTTTTCTACAGACTGATTTGAATTTTAACCTGCAGAGACCTGGGAAAAAGGTAGCTCACTTCAGCCATGAATTAGTTAATTCAACCTTGATTACTTTTTCAGGCTGTTGGGACTTCACAGGCTCCTAGGCCTGAAACTTATCCAGCTTCTATAATGTTGTCTAAGAGACTGCCTTAGATGAAGTTAATGGCCCTATAGTTCTGAAATATTTCCAGACAGCAGGCTTGATGAAAAATTGAAAGAAATATTTTTGGTCAAGGATGCAATACCAGTGTTCATACTGGGGTCATGAACCCGTAACTCATAACAGATTCAAAGCAAACTGGGTGCTGCTCCTATTTGCCTGCACAGGCAAAATTCCATCCACTCCAACTAAAAACAACTTCATTCCTCGTTGGATATAGATTTGAACTTTGCAGCTAGGCAATCATTTTTTTTTTTGCTTTCTCCTCTGTGTCTGTTATTCTGCAGAAACTAATCATGTTAATTCTGGAAAAAAAAACCTCTTTAATGAGAGGGGGAGGAGAGGCAGGCAATGTGGCTCATTGGGTGGCCTTACAAAAGAGAGAAAGGAGCACACTTCCACAGTGCCTGGCAGATCAAAAGGTTCCACTACAATTACCTGGAGACACAAAGAGATCCCTGCCTTGCCTAATAGCTTTAAGAGAAGGCTTTCTCTCAGCTGTAACATCATTTATATTACAAGCCAGCCATTTCATTGCTCATTTATTCCAAGGAGCGCTTTATTGGTGGCAATGGCAAAAGCAGGATTGGAATGAATGTCATTAAATGAAAGTGGGGGCCCAAGTGTAGTACAGAGACAGACCATGCAGAAGGCTGGTAGTTCTAAACCTGCAAGCGTGCAGATTCCAGACCGTGAAGAGCACTGGAAAATATATGGCCCCTGTCCCATCCACAACACTCAAGAGATTAACGATTTTACCTTAGATCTATCTAATACATCTCTCACGTACCGTGCACAGATTGAAAGCATGCATTTTAATGTCAGCATCTCTTCTGAAAGTCTGTGCATGCTTCTAGTTTAAATTCATGTATGTCATTTGTGATATGGAAATGTGTGTCTCTTTCTCTCCATAGGAAAGTCAAAAATGCTGAGACTGGTGTTTACGATTTACTGAAAACTACTGCATAATCAAAGTGTATCACCCGCCCCCCCCAACTCCCTTGCTTTTCTACTCCATAAACCGGTGATCTGGGATTGTGAAGCAGTTGTGTTCAGGGACCAGTGGCAAACAAGCAGCCTTGAAGAGGAGCTGTTACAGCTGTAATGCAGTAGTAAGCAGTAAACGACCCAGGAGGTACTTTTTTGGAGGTACAAAATCTGTGTCAGGACGTTTGGGCTTTGCACCATGTAGACAATTATGAAAAAGCATGATTTGTAAGCTGCGGGAACAGGTGCATTGTGGGAAAACTGGACTGGAACTATTTTTGGAGGGGATGAGTGTTTTTCTGCATGGCTGGGCTCTGTAGAACCACATGTGTTTATGTGACTTTTCCCTGCCCTACCTAATTTCAGTTCCCCGTCCCCTATCCCCACCCTTCCTTCCTCTTCTTACCCGCTGTTCCTGACAGGAAACAAAAGTCTGGAAGCCCGGTGCTACCCCAAATCCCAGCTGGTCGATGAAAGGGGGCTCATCCTGACTGTGGATCTGCACTTTGATCCCGGCCTCGAAGGACGTCTCATCTAGGGACACAGCAACAACACAGGGCCACATTAGATGGCTGACCTTCCTGCAGGGCGTGCAGCTTGGAAAGCTTGCAGCGATCCATGGAAAAGCTGGGAACAGGTGGGTGGGAATCCAAATATTGATTCACACATGGTGGTTTGGCAAATCATTAAGTGTGACTGGACTCATGTGTAGCACAGAGGATTTTAGCTAGAGGTGATACTACTGCCTTTTGTTCCAGTGTGTGGCCACGGAGATTCTGATTGTCCAGTTGCTGCTACCTGCTTATCACGAAACAGATATATACAAGACATGGGCTTCGTGAAACAAGGGATTTAGGAGCTTAATTATGGATGATTACATGACATGCATTGGGCTCCGAAGTCATCAGTATTTGGGCACAAAGACCCTGATAGCTCTCTCTCCCATACCTCTTGGATCTACAGAGCAACCACACACCATGTGGACACTCCAGGGATCAGGGATGTTCACCGCGTGACTGGACTACTGCACACTCAGAAATCATAATAAATTCAACTCCCCCATGCAGCAAAGCAAATATGCACCGCGTGAAAGGAAAGCAAATTAGGAATCTGCGACTGAATAATGGGTATCAAACTTCATCTTAAAAGACAGTAGGCAGGGGAGTGTATCTTCTAGTCATGTTGTGCTGAAAGCAATGCGCGCTAACTGCATAATGATAATGATCCTTGCAAGCTGCACAGCCCAAACCATAATGTAACCTAATGAACGACATTACTGCACCGTGAAGACATGGTTAGATTCAGCCACGGCCCAGCTTTGCAAGCTGTGACTTTAAATACCTCCCCCGCTAAACACAGAAATCAACAAGATGCGTCTGCAAGATTTTAACAAGCTCCCCTCCTTGCTGCTGACCAGCTGGGATCTTTCACCATTCACCAGTATCGACTAAGTAGGAAAGGAATGGAGAAAAGAATGCATCATATAGAAAAAGATCAAATGAAAATCCATGAACCCAATAGCCTTCTCTCCTGCATAAGCATTTGCGAATAGATTTTACATTACAAGAGCAAGTTGCATCTCAGGAATGGAAGTGGTTCCACCACAAAATTGTTCGATTGTCACAGAGTCTTGAAGGCTTCTCTTCCTTTTTAAATTAATGAGATGCAGAGAGGAGCAATGTGGAGTGGTGCAGGAGGGCAGGGAGTTTGCAAGGGCTTCCCAAACTACACGAGGACTGCACCTGAGAAACACTCCAGCACCACTCATGACATCCATCCATCCATCCATCCATCCAACTTCTAACCATTTTATCCATTGCAGGCTTGCAGGGGAACTGGAGCCTATCCCAGCAAGGAACAGACACCCTGACACAGGGCACAGACACACACGCACTCACACCAGGGCTAATTTTCCCAGAAGCCAATTAACTTACAAGCATGTCTTTGGATCGTGGGAGGAAACCGGAGCACCTGGAACACGGGAAGAACATACAAATTCCATGTAGCTAGCACCCTAGATCTGGAATTGAACCCTGGACCCCAGGGCCAACCGACCTCCTTCATACCAGTGTTAAAAAAAACATCACGCTGAAATCGGCACAGCAGATTTGTTTTTCATTTCAACAAAGGAAATTGCCTTTCCTTTTTGTTCATTATGGCCGCTGAAGCTCCTAGATTTCTCTCCTGTTACAGGGGTTAATGGAACTGGGATCCTGTGTGTCCGGGTGGAGTTTTCTCATGGCAGTGTGGCGACAGGGAAGCACAAGAATTGCAATACAAAGACAGCCGCTTGCCCAGGCACCACGCCATATGGGCGCTGTTAAACAGAATTAATTGCATCTGAGAATTGAGGGGCCAGGTGTGCCTCCAGACACTCGCTTATTTGCGCTCATAAGAGATAAGACTGTCCTTCGGAGGTACAGCTGGCAAGCAAATGGCCAAGGCTCTCATTATCTGACTTGTGGCGCACCACGCACTGCGACGACGGTAACGGTGCAACCATTTGACATGCTTTTCTTGCTCTCCGGCTCCACCACCGATGGGATTTCTAACCTTTGCTCAATTCCCGGAGTGTTATCTGCGGGAGCTTGTATATTCTCCCCGTGTTTGTGTGGGTTTCCTCCAGATGCTCTGGTTTCCACCCAGAGTCCAAAGACATGCCGGCAGGTTAATTGGAAAGATTGGCCCTGGCATGAGCGCACGTGTCTGGGTTTGTCTGTGCCCCATAAGCGGACTGGCGTCCCATCCAGGGTGTACCCTGCTTTGCGCCCATTACTGGCCAGGACAGGCTCTGGTTCCTCCGTAACTCTGAATTGGATGAAGATTTAGAAACTGTATATGGGACTCATCTGCTCAAGAGACAACCGTGGCTGCTGCAGGGGTATGGGGGATCAGACCACGGGCCATTCTGTCATGGGTAGTCGATACTATATGGCCTTACATTGACAGGGGCTGTACAATGGTCACAGAATGCAATGCGTTACATGGTGTTCAGTTTTGTTAGCTCCCTGCTGTTGTCAGGTAATTCTCTGTGGCCTTAGACTGAATGGGGCGATCAAGGGAGTTTCGTGCTCAGCGGTTATATGCTTTGTGAATGTCTGTTTAGAATATGGGATGTGCACAGTTGCTGTGGTTTGTGTGGTCACATGGTTTTCTGTTATTTCAATGAATTTAATGCTGCTTCTTGGTTTCTTGCCAAAACACTGCATTAGTTCTCTGCAGGAGCATACTGTAGCTTTTCATTGTGTACTCTAGCAGCACCAGGAAAACATTTGTTCACTTTTATTTGAATTGTTTTTATCATCGATTAGTTGTTATAGCCACCCAATCTGGAAAAGCCACGTGTGTGTTGCTTGCAGCTACGACCCCCACCACCGCACACAGGGGAGAGCGAGGAAGTGCAGGCAGACTCCTCCACCCCGCCCGCCTTCGAGTCACGCGCCTTTTAACACTCCACAGGCAGCACTGCCCCATACTGGAGGATCAGCGCCGCCTGGAGGAGAGGCGCTTCCCTCACTGACAGCGCCGTGAGCCTGCAAGCACCCGGGGGGCCACAGGGGGGCGCTGTCTCGCTGAGTGAGCCCTGGTCAAGTAGTCCCATCTCATCCTCGGCGGAGGCACTTTGCCGCTGCCTGGGGATTCCCATTGACTGTCCGCTAGCTACATGGCCCGATGCCAGAACCTGAGATCGTACAGTTCGACGTGTCTCCTTTTCTCAAGACTTGCTTAGGCCAGACAGAAGCAGAACCCTGATGCAGCTGCAGTTGTGCACTTCTGGGTATCAAGCCAACACTGGCCCAACACAAAACACAGATATATCAGTTCTCCTATAACATCCCAAACAGAAATACTGGAATTGCTGATCAGGTGCTTGAGTCCTGATACAGCATTCTATTTGCAACTGTTTGTGTAAGATAGGAATCCTGCATTGTGTCTTGTCTCCAACCTGAATAGTCAAATGTATCCATTTATCGCTTTATTTTATCAATCATACTTAGGATTTTTTGGTGGCGCGGTGACTCAGGGGTTAGCTTCGTTGCCTTGCAGCGCTGGGGCCCTGGGTTCAATTCTGGACCTGGGTGCGATCTGCATGGAGTTTGCATGTTCTCCCTGTGTTTGCCTGGGTTTCCTCTGGGTGCTACAGTTTCCACCCATAGTCCAAAGACATATTGGTAGGTTAACTGGCTTCTGGGGAAACTGGCCCTGAACTTGTGTGTGTGTACCCTGTGATGGACTGTTGTCCTGTCCAGGGTGTAGCCTGCCTTGTGCCTGTTAATGGTTGGCATAGCCTCCAGCTTCCCCATGACCCTGTGTTAGACAAAAGCAGTTAGAAAATGGATGGATGGATAGGAATTCACAAGAACATGCATTTCTACTAGAACTGACCAACTTGCATTCTTTTGTTTACAGAAACGTACACTATGTAATCTAATTTATTATCTCTTGGTATAGTATGTGATATTCTTTTTATTATTCAAACAGCTTCCCAACTTGAATATGATAATCATCTGAAATACCACTATACTTAAAGACAATCCCTGACTCCATCTATGTCTTTGACATCCAGGACCAAATTCGTAAATGGTGCAATGCTTTTTGCACTGGCATGTCGATGGTGTTAATGCATATAAGCAAGAATTTGCTCATTGTGACAGTTTTCCAAGACTTCTAGTTGTGGCAATTTTACAATCAGGCAATACAATAACCTAAAAGTCAAGAAAGGTTACAAAAGAGAAGAGGCCATTCGACTCCAATTAGCCCATCTGGTAGTTAGTAGTTAATTGATCCAAGGATTTCATCCATGCAGTTTCTTGACAGGAGCCTGGGTCTCGCCTTCAGCAACAAGGCAGGATGCCTTCTTCCACACTCCCACCACCCTTTGATTAAAGCAGCATCTCCTGTTCTCCATCTCAAATGCACAGAAATTCAAACTACTTATCAACCTATGGTTGCACCAGGGATGTTCAAAAGACAGTGCCACTACTAGATGTGGTCTTCGAACTCAGCAGCAGCAGACTGACCTGTCTCCCCCCACACAGGCAGGTACTCGTCCTGCTGGATGTCCAGCATGAGCTCCAGGCCATTGCCTGTCCCGCCCTTCATGGTGACCAGCAGGGGGCGCCCGTCCTGGCCGGAGTTGAAGGTATAGCACTTCCCGTAGCGGGTGAAGATCTGCAAGACAAGAGCAGTTCGTCAGACACTGCGGGGACGGCTAGTCTTTGTGACAATGACAGGGAGAGCACAGAAAGAAAAAAAAAACAAAACAATACATTAAAAAATCTAATTTCATTTAGATCTCATAATTCATAATTACATTTTTAAAGAAATTACCTTTGCATGCTGCCAAATTGCCTTGGAAAAGCAATGAATTAAGCGGTTTAAATGCACACTTGCTTGTTGAATGGCTAAAGCTGAAAATCCAAAGCTCTGTGCCTTACAGGATTAGCAATAATGGGATGACAGCTCATTTTCCTTGTTAGGAGCATAAAAAGATTAAACCTAGAGAATGAAAGGAGTTCAAATCCAATAATTTTGCTTCTTGTCTTAGACACGCCGTGTCTATAAAGTGAAGATACTGTGGCTCTGTTTATAAAGACGACCTGGGAACAGCATGCCCATTATTCAAGAGGAAATGAATGACACATTCCATTATCTAAAAGGAGTGTCCCCCTTACAAAGAGACTACTCTTACAGTAAACACTACTACTTTGTGAATACCTTCACAAACGGATTCCTGAGCTCACATAGTGTTTGACTGCAAAAACAACATTTTAAAAAAGCACAGCAAAGCTATCAGTTAAATCCATGCCCTGGTCAGTCTTAAATTCAGTTCAGTTTATTTGTCATATGCACAAGTGCAATGATATGCTTAACTCTCAGTGCTGACATGTTTATAGATTTGTCTGCATGCTGACAGCTCGTAGTGGGATAGTACTGTATCCAGAATTCACATACAGATCTCTGTGCCAGGCTGGCTTGGCAATTACAGGAATAGCTGCTACACTTCTATGTGAACAACCTAAAAAGATTAAACCCCAGAGAAAGAAAGGTGATGAGAATCTACTCAGTGTCCAAACTGCATTTAGCTTCTGTGCCAAAACTGTATCTGTCAGGTCTGAAGCGCCATTCATTCGTACCGAACAGAAACAAAATGCAGCTCCAGGGCACTGGTCTGTAAATGACAGAAAAACGACAGCAGGGATCACCCTTCACAGAGCCCACGCCTCAGCAAACGCCTGATGACAGAGGAGGGCCAGGCACTTTGGGTGCAATAAGAAACTCCACTAGGCTACGAATAGCCCAGCCGGTGGTTAAGGGCCACTTCATTAATTTTACAGGCTGACCCTTTCAAACAGCAGCCTGCGCTTGCCTGTCAATTTAAATGGACTCCCCGAGGTTGCTGCTGGCTCAGGCTGCTGATTCCAGGGGCTGTGTTATACAGCAGCCCTCCAGCTCCTGCCTCGTCTCTGCACACGAGGACAGAGCCAAAAAAGCTTCTAAGGAGCTGCACTCGAATGTCAGGGACTCAGTCTTACACTGATTAACAACTGCTACTGTTATTATTTTCAGCAATTCACTTTTTAGATGACAATTTCATCCCAGGCTAATTGTATTCAAAATAATCAATGACCTATGGAAAACAATTGAAACAAATAAAATGAAAACGTAGAATAAAGTGGTATAAAAGAAAATGAACCAGTTAATATAGTAGCTAAAGGCGGTCCAGTGACTGAGACAATACAATACATTGTAATACGAAGACAAATCACAGGTACAGTCTCTACAATCAACACAAAAGCAATGAACAAGGTACCACAGTAACTGAAAATACCACATAACTGAAGTGCTTTGGGAAACTTGGAAATGAAAAGCGCTATATAAATGCCATTAATTACGATTATTTACTGCAAGTCCAACTGGCAGACAGACAGAAGCTCATTTAGAACTTGCAGAATTATGTAGAGTAGCCAGACAGAACATCTGCTCGTTTATTTAATCTGTTTTCCAATTAATATTCTACACACACTTCAAGCATGCAGTTTCCATAAAAGAGCCTGACGTTAAATGTTGTTTTCATCAACAGGATTGAGGCAAAGAGTTCTTGATCACGTTTTAATAGGAAGGATTAATACCTTGAAGTTTGCACTGCCAGACAGGGGATCTATTTAATAAAGGCAAGTCAGCTATCATTTGAAACTGGAAAGAAACTATGCCCTTCTTTAATGCAGAGCTGAGCATCAGACATGCCCCAGGGACAGCCCGGGTGAATTGAATGTGACACTATCCAAATTTGTTTTAGAATTATGTCAGAGGAGAAATTTAGCGATCTAAATCTCCTAATTTGCTTGGAGGATATATCTCAGTATGGAAGAACCCCCCTCCACAAAAGAAACATCTGGATCCCCACTGCTTTCATATTTGCTAGGGGAAACCCGTCATAGATCAAATGAAATGGTTCGCTTGCATTGTAAAAGGAATGATTTAACAGTTGTTATTTTCTTCAATCAAGACAGCCATCGAAACAAAGAAAACCCGACGGACAAGACACTGCTCTGGAATAGGATTTGAAAATAATGATAGCGAGTATCCTCTGACACCATGACCTTACGCTCCAAAAGCGACAGTGTGCTTCCTTAATACTATCAGGAACCCCTTTCCATATCAGAGGGATCTCTTCTGTGAGTTTCCCAGTGCAGCAGGTGACTCTGATGAATGCCAAAGTACTTAGGGATGCTGGGTGGTAGGCAAAGGGGACTGAAATACAGAGGACCAGAGTAAACTGTCCTTCATTTCTGTCAAACTGTTAAGAGTGCTCAAAAGTTAACCTTAAACAGCAAACTGGAAATCCTTGTGGCTCACTTTATAAAAAAAGAAACACTCAGCCTGCCTCCCTCCCACAGTGCAGTCAGGAGACAAAAGAGAGCAGAAAGCAAAAAGTCAGGCTCTTCAGATCAGCTGTCAATCATCCGAAGTTTCAAATGACTAAGAGCGCGTAATCAAAGAGTGACATTGTTGTTTGCAATGGGAGATACATAATTAAAAACATTTCCATATGAAACAGCGACCGCACTTCGAATTGTTCATTCCCCTGATGGTATTTAGAGTACAATAAAGGTCAATCATCAATTCATGAGATCAATTCTTTTGTCTCCAGAGTGGGATGTCTGAAAAAGGCGAGTTTGCGAAAAAGCCCCGCATCTCATACTAGATAAAATCTGTTTCACTGCACGCACCGCTCAAAAGCTCTTTTGCATGGCCTTTCAAGACAGTGGTTAGTTTCAGAGTTACTGTACATTATGACTTGAGACACTTGTACTGTTCAACACCATGGGACATACAGTACACAGGTTCTTTGTCTTGATCCTGTCACGGGTGTCTAACTCAGGAGACTTCCTGAAAAGGCCAAACTCTAGTTCCAAACTCTGGTTTTCAATGGTACATGATTAATTGCATTTATTAACCAACTTTACAACTGATCATCTTGCTCTATATTATTTTAGATTGCTTTGCTCTTTAGTTGCCAATTAGTTTCACATACAGTAAAAGTGACAAAAACCATCCTGCATCGAAACCCTCAAATCCATTACCGTGTCATCCGTATAAAACAAAAATCTAAATCCTTGCTTTCTCCCTATTTGCCTGTTGAATTAGCACAGGACTCTCCCCACATCACAGCTTCAAAAGCGGGACCTTTCATTAATACCACCAGCATGACTTTCTGCTGTTCTGCTGTTTTCAGTACAGATTCTGTGTGAATGTCCAGAAGCCACACACACTTGTGGATTAGTGCAATAATCGTTCTGAGCCACGCAGCTGAAGTTGCTTTCTCATTCAGAACGCGCAGCCCCAACGCAGGGCCGTGACCTTCACCCCCCTGGATCACCTTTGGAGCCCCCCCCCCCTTCCAAGGAGACAAGAGATGGAGAGTTAGAAAAACTCAAGTGGGACGCCGTTCAAATGGGAAACGGCACCAAACTCCCATGCACACCAGCTCGCTCACCCATTCCTGCCCACCGGGTTTTTTTCATTCGGAGCTTTCTAAATAAAGGTTAACCTGTGCTTCCCCTACTGAAACAAGACATCCCCGGCAGGGTCAAACTAATGATCGATTGACCACAATCGCCAGCGTCCTGTACACCCGTTACATGGTTCTGTCACCAAGCATCTCCAGCTCTCGAGTGCTCCAGTCCTAAGGGTTCTGGATTTGAAATCTGACACTGGGACTTGGGACTGCGTTTTGGAAGTCCTCTTTCAGAATTTCCTTAAGCCTACCAAGGCGATCATCTCTGTAGTGGTGGGATAAGATTTTGTTTTAATTTGGACTCTCCAGCACGTATGTATCTCTTAGCACTGGTGGGAGTGATGGGGATGGGCAGGTTTAAAGAGTTTTATATTGTCAGATTTCACTTACAACGGTTAATATAGGTGAATATCTGGGCAAGAAAGCAAGGAGGATTGGCTGTTATTACATACTTCAGAGTTTTTATTCCTGTGTAGATTTTGTTTTTATGTCAATGCTGTGCAGCCCCGTTTTCTAGCTGGTCACGAGAGGGTTTTTTGTCAGGCTTTCCCGTTCTTTTGTCTACGGATCCGGATGCTTCTTAAATTTCCACCGGAATTTCACTGCATGAAAAGAGGGACGAGTTCTTGGCTGTGCTTGCCCCTGTGCTTGTTGTTTTGAACCTAAAACAATGCCATGAGGGAGCCGCTGCTTGCAAGGGGACAAGTTTTGTTTAAAAGATTCCTCTGTGTTTCTCAAGTTACGGATTTCCGACTGTATGTCCCCGGGAAGCTGCAGCTGCCAGCCCCTCTTCTCCGGGGGTGCGCTCACCCTGACCAGGAACAGGCCCGCGCGGGAGAGCTGGAATTGCGTGAGCCTGCCGACTGCGCTGCTCCAGCAGGGCCAGGAGAGTGTGCGTTGCTGTGGCAACAAGCCGAGGGACGGTGCGACAGCCTTGGCCGCCCTCTACCCGGCGCCGCCCTGCTCTTCAGCGCCGCGCTCGGCTCCCGGTCGGAACGACAGCAGCGCCGGGGAAGAGAACGACGAGTCGCGTCTACAACACAGGGGACGCGGGAGCCTTCGTCACCCGCCCCGTCCAGGCAATCGATTCCTCACCTGTCCACGCCCGTTCTGCGGGGCTACAGGGCAACTATACACCCCCCCACTTCCACCCCCAGCCTTTCTAGAGAAACCGCGGGAGCCGACACGGCCAGGCCCAGAACGAGCCCCGCTTTCGGCTTTCAGAACCACTCCGTTTCCAGTTTAGGTTTCAAAGGCTCGTCTGTGTCAGCATTCCCAGCACAGCATTCCCAGCACGGTTTGGGAATATTTCCACGGAAGATAGGGGAGGAACGCAGGAAGGTCCCGGACAAAACGCACACGGCATCTTTGCGGTGTTCCTGCGGCTTTTCCTGACAGGGAAACTCCCGCACTGTGCATGACAGACCACAGTGGACGTCGACTGTGGGGCAGCTGGGTTTTCTCCTGGACCTGTGTGGTAAAGCGAGTGGGATAACGTGTAATAAAGGCCAGTCAAAAGTGTAGAAGACCACAGCAAAAGTCAGTTAAACAAATACATTTTCTCAAATCACTATGAAGAAAGGTGCTTCCCCCCTCCTAGGACTGACCACAATCTCATCCTTCGATGGCAACAGGGTGCAAATAGGAAGTGAGTGGTTTGCATCTGGTTCTGTTCATTTTCATTTTATATTCTAAGAGCCCATTTCAGAAAAAAAAAAACGCAGTTCAGGAAAATTAAGAACATGTGTGGGGGGGGGGGAAGGATTTCAGCGTCACACACCATGTTCCACTAATGATCAAGTCCGCGTGGCGCGCCCCTGATTTATTTCCCCCTCATCTCCCACTCACCCATGTTAATCGGCCATCATTTCACCAGCTGTTTTCCCTTCAATAGTTAATTAGTTATTGATGGCGGGAGAAGATTCCCTGAGATCCTTCAAGGCTTAGCCTGCAGAGGGCCTTGGATCAATAAGCCACGAGTCCTGAGAGCGAGCACGATGGGTGGAACAGCCTTGCGTGACTATCCCCACAGCACACGCACATATACAACAGGACGCCATATAAATATTGAGACGGAATAACACTCAGCCGAGTAAGGTCAAGCCCGCTCCTTTAAAGCAAAACTCATTCCGTGTTTTCCCCGGCTGGACTGAACGCTGATTTAATGTTTCACTTGTAGCACATGCTGTAATGCGTGCTCCTGTTTTGCAATTTGCTGTTTTCTTTAAATTTTTTATTAACACTGCGCCAAAAAGCCTGCAGAGAGCCCCAGACAATAATTGAATAACCGGTTCAGGATGCTTGGCAATGGTGTTCTAAATATGGGAACAGTTCCCGCGTGCAAGCGGGAGGCATTTTGGGCTGTTTTGTAGCAGGACGCGATCTCCCCAGGCTGCGCTGCTCGAGTTGTGAGCGCGGGGCGTTTGCCTGGATCGATGGCAGTTATACAGAACGCTGTGAGCTCTCTCTCTGGACTCCTGCCTGCTCGATATGACAGATCAATGAAAACGCCCAAGGGAGAGTACATGGGGGGGCACCGTGGGTCGCTGATGCTTGTTTTGGAGGTGGGGGCCAAGTATTTTGTCCGCCCCCCTTCCTGCCCCTGTCGTTGGATCCCCTTTTCCATCTCTCACACACACCGTCATTTCCAGCCCTGGTTTCTTATTCATTGTCAATGATCCCATGTTCCCAAAATATCAACCTATCCCACCACTTGGGAGTTGAAATGTGTGTCTTAAGGCCTTATTTTTGGCATATTAGTACCCTCCTGTAAAAACTCAATTGGTTAAGTGAACAAGAAACTTCATTGTAATGTGATTAAGATTTTAGGCCTGTTTTGTTTTGAATCTCGTGCCACCACAGCTGTGCTATGACCGATTTGATGTGTCCGCTGAGGAGGACTTGTTAAAAAAAATGATCCTTTTAAGTAGATTCTACAATTTTTACGTGGTGTTTAATTCGGATTTATAACTTCCAACCTGTCTCAGCCTTGTCTGCCTGTTTGCCAGAGGAACTATACCCAAGGGCAGCACTGTAAAACAATGTACAGTACCTTGGAAGGTGCTATATAGCAAAAAGATTATATTTAAGATTATTATAGATCCCAACGGAATGGGATGTCAAAACCAGCCCATTAGCTTATCTAAACGATGTGTCAGCATTAAGCCCTCGCTGAGCTCACTACCCTTTGCTGAACCAGGTCCCAGAAGACTCATCTCCTTCCAAGTGTCAGGACGTTTCATTACTGCAAGGCTGACCAACTCCGAAGACCTTTAATTAAGAGGGTATTCTAATGGACACCCTTCTGTCTGTGCCATATTACATTTGTTTTTACATGGGAGGGGATCAGATACAAAATAAGGATTTTGCATTTCCAGAGCATGTCATCTTGTCATTAAATATCATTACTAATTGAGAGCATGAACACTCATGCCTCAGCTCATTAGTGGCCCTGCCTCTACCTGCCTCAGGGTAACAGGGGCCTGTTCTGTTCACCTCGCAGCTGGATGGTAACCAGCACAAAACCCCTTTTCTGAAACACATCTGCAACAGGGCCCTTCTAACGCATCACGTCAGGATGTTGCAAGACAACCAAACTCCACTGCATTGTAGCCGAAACAAGAGTGGCCAGAAACAAGAGGACAGCATTTGGCACATCCTGCTCGTGTTGTCCTGTTGACGCAGACTGTGCACCGGTCACTCCGGAAGCAATGGCCACAGCAGGTGGTGCATTTTAAAGAAGTCTCACCATGTGTGCACAGGAAGAACATGCAAACTCCACACAGATGGACACCTGCTAGCCCAGGACCTGGGAACCGTGAGGCAAGAGTGCTGACCAACATGGTGTTGGGCCTCCCCAAATGTGACACGATCCAGTCACGAGCAATAAAGTGTCCACCTGCACTCCTAACAGACGCACTGCACTCTGTTACAGAGCAGTTCTTGGGGGCTCCAGAGGGTTATGAAAAGGTGCTATCGAGCTCGTTATCAAGGATCAGCCAGAGCAACAAATCTTCTGCATTGTTTCGTCTAATAAAAGATACTTTCGCCAACGGGACTGGTGACAATTCTATTGAAAATCCGCCGGCTTCCAAGAAAGCTGGACTGAAGCGACTAAAATCATAAATCTATTAAATACTTTTTGCAGGACAATCAAATCCTGGCTGTGATTTATAATTAGCAACCGTTAGGGAAAAAAATCTCAACAGCACTGCTCAGCATGTGATATAAAAGGCACTTCCAGTTCAATGAACGTGAATGAAAATGAGTGTTTCACTTTGAAGTGCGAATTGGAAATTCTCACAGAGAAACCAAAACCGCATCACTTAATAGCAATTATACGTACACCCCGAGGTACGGATCTTCGTTTTTTTTTTTGTAATACCCACAATGTTGCCCCGGGACCGAAAACCTGTTCTATTATGTACATGAGCCCTCTCGCCACAGTGTAGCCTACTTCTTAATTTCACGAAAACAAGCGCTTATCGCTTCGAACATCCCAAAGGCTACAAGAATGTCCTGAAGTTTAATTACAGGGGAGCTGTCTGAAACAAATGCGGATCAGCCTAATCGGGGCTGCTGGATCACTTTCTAGCTTCCTCTAATCTGGTTTGAAGAGAAAGGGCGAAATTAGGTTTTCAGCCGACTAAAGCTGACTGCAGACATTTAATAGGAACAGGGCTATTTACTATGTGTTCCTACAGGCGAACTACAGGAGAAAAGAAGAACAAGAGTAATTTATTCCTGGCAATCATATGCAAAGAAAACCCATTTGTGAATGTTTAGGCACAGCCCAAGCGCAGTACAAACACCTTTGAACGCAGGGACTTTGCTTGACGCGATAATGACAGCACCTGAATTGACAGTGCTGAATGTCCTGTACCTTGCTCACTCCACGTGGTGTTCATGCAAATGAAAAATGAACGAAAGAAGCCTCAAAAATCGCAATCTCGTTTTCACTCAATGGGCGACTAGAATCTCATCAGTATGCATAAACAAGCGCCACGTGAAACAAAACATTATATAATGTTATTAAATGTTCAATGTATATTTTTATATATGAAAAGCACATTAAGGAATGTTTGAATAATATAGAATCGTATAATACAAGAAATATGTGGTAATATACTACACAACAGTGCGCGAAAGCAGAGCTCAGTGTCAATTACTTGCACAAAACACGGGATTGTATTTGCACTAGTAGCCTAAACCTCGCAGACTTCCTGTGGGGTAAACCATAATTAAATGTAATTATACTATTACAGTGTGCACCGCTGTGATTATTCTAGGGCTATTTCAGCAGGCGGAAGGCAGGAGCGCCAGACGCTCAACAGTGCTCGGACTCACGGTGCTGAAATTGCGCGGGCCGCACAGTTGCCCCTGGAAACGGCAGTACAGCAGCATTTCCTCGAGCTGGTGGCCAAGCCGGTCCAGGAGCTGCTTCATGGAGGGCTGGGAGTCGCGAGGCGGCGGCAGGAAGTGGGTGAAATCCAGGATCCGGGAGAGCGGGGACCAGCGGGGATCGCTGGCCCCGTGCCGGGAGAGGGCTTCGCGCGCCCCGGCGGACACCTGCAGGTTCCTCCCCAGCAAACCCAGCCACCGGCCCGCGGTGAAGATGTCCGGCTTCTCCATGCGCCGGGGCAGCAGCAAGTTCTGGTTGCAGATGGTGACGGCGGGGAACACCAGGCGCTTGGCGTAAACCATGTGGACTTTGGTGTGAACCGGCGAGGAGAGGAAGTAGCGGACACGGTTGGAGGACCAGGTGAAGAGCAGAGCCAGCGCAGCCAGGCAAGCCAGGAGCCAAGCCAGCCGGCGCGGGTAGGAGCCGGCCAGAAAGACGTGGCGCAGCCCGTGGAAGGTCGTGTGTTTCAGGAACAGCTGTCCCGCTTCGAACAGGGAGCCCGGTCTGCCTTTAGAGAGAGTCGTAGGTTGGCACATATTTGTAGGCTATGCGCTACCGTCTCTCAGCCTCAGCATCGCCCAACAGTAGCCTACACGGCTCATCGTTTTCCAGCGTGCTTGGTTTTGCAGGGAAACCCAGGGTGCGGTGCGACTCACTGAAGAGTTGCAATCAATCAGCTACGTGCATACTTCTCCGTGCATTTCCTGAATGGAGTTCCCGCTCCAGAAGACAGCTTTCACTCTAGTTTAGCGCGATACTAACGTTGTGTTATGAGGTGAAATATTCCGCGAGGTTGAGAAACTGCCACACAGAGATGAGGTTAGTACAGCTTCGCCAACTGCATATCTGTTGCTTTGTAACAGTCTTGGTGCTCATTCAGAACGGATTCAAATGGACGATTTCAAGCTTGTTCCAGGTGTAAGAGGATTGCATTAACGTCTTGCATTTCAGGCCTACCGGTGCACAACAGGTAGAATTTTACAGAGGAAGCCGGCGGGATTATGTAAACGCAAGAACCCTGCTGTCCAAAGACAAGAGTAAAAAGACCGACGATAATCTTGGAGAAAAAGAGATTTCGATGCGCGTTCTTCTAAACGAACATTATGATATGTTATATTCCCGTAATTATGTCTATCTAAACAATTAAAAAAATGAAGTATCAGTGCGACCCTTGTTTTCTTTAAATACGATCTATTAGTAGAAACAAATATACAACCACCTCTAAAATAACCGATACATCCAGTGATTACATCGAAGAAACCGAGTAAAAGACTCTTTGCTGCCTACAATAAAACAGTTTTACCTGATCAGAACGGAGTTACCAATATACCGCTTATATATTTAAATACATTGGTTATATAATTTCAACAATGACCCATACTACCGACCTCAGAGACTAAAAATGATGTATTCCTATTTTTCCACTTGAATAGCTTAATAAGGTTTCCGAATATAACGCGTTCCAACCTGAAACGATCCAACATTTCTTTGACGGAGAAAAAAGAAACGCGTTAATAACACATTCTACGTTAAAGTTCCGCAAAAGACTATTTCAGCTCTGTATAACAAAAGCTTTTACATTCGCAGACACAAGGCGATGGCTTTGTGGTCCTGGCTTCAATCTCCGAGCTATTGCTTCAACACCTGTCGTAGTAGTAGTTGCCGGGTGTAACGACACCCGTCGATATTTAAATGTCGAAAAGAAAACGTCAGGAAATCACCCCCCGTGTAAAAAAATCCACCTGCGCACTTCTGAGAGCCTTTTCTCACTTCGATTTTTGTGTTCCTCACTCAGTCAGAGCCAGTGCCCGGGCACGGCCGCTGGTGTTCGCCAGGCTCCTGGGCTGCGGTGCTGCGCTCCCTCCCCTGGCTGACTTTCCGCGTCTCTCTTTCCTCACGGAACCCCACTTTCCCCCTTTTATCGCGCTCCCGTTCCCTTCGCGCTCCTCTACTCCGCCCGCTGCCCGACGTTTGCCTCAGCTTTTACGCTCCGGTGCCTCCTCGTTGCCAAGCTTCCCGACACCTCTCCGCCGACTCTCCCTGGATTGTTAACCCTTCCGGGGTTGCCCATGATCTGCGCCGCATGCTGGACGAGCTGCCCCCTCCTCCTCCCTATTTAATCCCTCCGTGCCTCTGCTCGATTATTCTTCACAACTCCTTCCTCCCCCCAGTCGTTTCCTTAGCTCCGCTTAACGCCTCCGCGATTATTCCGCTCTTTTATTTTCGCCCTCGAACCTCTGCTGCTCTCCTGCGTCTTTTGCCTACTCTTGCCCCGGGTTCTAATCTCTGCTCGTCCCGGCTCCGTCCCTTCCCGTCCGCTCCCTCGGCCGCCGAGACCCCCGCGCGGCGGCAGGTGCTGCGCCTTCTTCCGGAACACTCCCCTGCCGCCTTCGCCGTCTCCACGGTATGCGGTCTTGGCGACCGACCACATCAGTTTCTTAAGAGTGGTTTTCAGAGAGAACCCCAACCTCCCCACTCCCTTCCTCACACCAACTCCTTCGCCCTACCACAGCAGATCCCATAAACCCACAGAACAGCGCAAGCACCTCAAAACCTGTTTTGGGAAATATATATGTTTGTTTTCCTAACAGGACGAATAAACCCGAGGCAAGACGCGAACCTCTCAAGTTAATAAAACCTCAGGACTGGAGCGTGGAAGAACTTTCTTTGTCTCCAGGTGCTGTTAGAAAGACACGAGTCGTTTTATTTTGATTAAATGTTTTTCAATGCTCGTCACCAAAATCGTATTGGATATAACCAGACATATGACAGATATGCCCTATATGTTTCGGTATTAAAAACAAAACCCCGTAGTGAAACTTGGCGCTTCCTTCACATTTGGCAGACAACCTTGACCACGACACCAGCTTTTGTTGGACCCCTGCGGCAGTGCCCAGTCTGGCCCGCTCAAATCCTCCTCCTCTCCAGCTCCCTTCCCCACTCTATAAACAGGTTTGCGGGATGAAGGCGCTGGCGAGTCGGGGAACTGCCTAGCCGTTCCGAGCCACGGGGAGATGCGCTCAGCCGAAGCGTGGCTCTGGAGCTGCTGTGTGTCACACGCTGGTCCCTCTCCTCCTCTCCTCCCCATCCACCCTCCCTCTCTCTCACACACACCTCCGTCCCTGCTGTTGCTCACCCCTCCAGCCTGGCTGTGTCACCAGGGATCAGGGTGGCAGCGGCACAGATGGGCCACTTGCTGTACCAGCACTGCAGCCCACACAAGCCACATGGAGAGAGACACACGGACGAGCTGGGCGATCTCGTCAAAGCGCACGGCAAAGGGACGGAAGACAGAGCAGCTGAATTCTAACAAGTCACACTTACAAATGTTTTTTTTTTTTAACGCGGTTACACCGCCTTTGACGATCAAAATGGCTAACGACCAGGGCAGGAGACTTTCATCTCTTCTGGAGGTTAGTCAGCTTCACCCGGACAGTTTCCTTTTATTCGTTTTTTTTTTTTTGTGTGGCATATTTTGACGTTAAAAGCCGAACACCAGTTAACCCCTTTGCTTCCACTCAAGGACGACTGCAGAATGAAATTAGCATTTGCACCAATAAATCGATCTCACACAGACGCCTGCTGTACAAGGGCTGTAGGTGCAAATGTGATGCAGCTGCTCATTAAATATCCTAGCTAGGTCTTCTGAGAGACGATGTAAAACACACACAGATAGGTGACGATCATACCATGCTGGGGTTTTAATTTGAGTGATAAACTTATGGTCCTACCACACATTTTATCCATTGTAAATATAGGCTTTTAATGCTGAGGCTCAGGTCCACCCCACACACACACAGCTTTCTCACTGAATCACTCAGCAGGTGCCCTGTGTTGTATATTTCTCATAGGTGCTCATTTTATTCTGCCAGGCCAGCACATAAACACTACACCCCCATCCCAATCCCTTGTTCCGTAACAACAGACTCATCTGGGTGAAGAGTTGTGCACTCTGCTCTCCCATCCTGGAAACAGGCATCGCAGAGCACATGAGCTAACATGTTTTGACATTGAATGAACGAGAGGAAAATTTGTATTCATGCAAACCCGTTTGCAGGCTTCAATGTGATGAATTCATCACGAAAGAGCAATCATATCAGAGCCCGACAGGATGATGTTGTGTAGTGTTAGCTGCCTGGAAGTATTCGGAAGCAGGGAAAGTGTTTGTGGCAGCGACTTGATTTTTGTAAACCTTACAGAGAGCCGGGAGGAAAAGTGTTTCCCTACACACCCCGCAGAGCTACCTTAAACCCAAGGGACATCAAACGCACCCATTATACCACAGGGCTGAGAGCACACAAAAAACAATTTAAAGACTATGCATTTGAGTGATTAAAGAAGAAAATGCATGCTTTGGCCAAAAGCCTATTGATTTTGCAATGCGATGTCCTGCTGTTGGAATCTGTCCATTAGTTAGGGGAATGCAAGGTCTTCAGTTTCGCGCAAAACCTAAACCCCTTCCACCTCCCAACCCATTCTGCGATAGCCTTCACCCCCACTCTTCAGCAAAGTCCCCCATTACCCCCCACCCTCGCTCAGCTCAAACCTGATGCACTGACAGGCTCGAGAGGATCTGCCTTCCCTGGGAATAATTAAAACTGGGTGTCGGTATGGGGCATGGCAATGAAAGGGAAGAACCAGAGCCCAATTCTCAATGGGGACCCCCCCCCCCACACACACACACAGACAGGGACTGCAGCTCTTTCTTAAGCAGAGGATTCAGATCAATACCCAGCTCCTCGCTCTCGTACAGGGAAACAGCAGATTCCAGCAGCCTGACAAGTCAGGCTCCGGATGCGCCTCCCTTTTAATGAGGAGAAATTAGCACACATCAAACGTGTCAAGGGAAAGGAAGAGGCGATTTCCTCATCACGGTCCGTTGGCCTCCTTTATATATTTATTTTCACGTTGTTTTTTTTCGCTACCTGCGAAAAGTTCTCACACAGCCACTCAGAGATTCTGCAATTACTGCGCTGACCTGAGCACCAGGAGCTGGCTTCATTTTCCCTAATAAGCTAACAAACCAGCGGGTTGTCCTGCACTCTGCTCCCAGTCCTGACCTCTACAGTTCAAGAGCGGTACTGGAATTTAACAGTTATTAATGTTTTATACTGCATAAGCCTTTTGAAAAATCTGGCTAATATGTCCCTTTCTGCATATGGCCAGTGCTGGACTTAATAAAAACAGAAGAAAAGTGCAGATTTCCCACAAAGTTATTAAAAATTGAATGGGCTTATCAGTGTTTTCCCATAATACAACTGTAAGTCTCATAAACACCTAGCGTTTGACATAGACGTTAGTCCAAGGACCATGTCATGAGGACATGTTCATGGCTTGGGGAACCACGTTTGATTCATCTGAGTTAAACTGGCCATTTTTTAGGCACTTATTTGCTTTTAACACCCAACCCTACCTCCTATGTTGGAGTAGCTAAATCTCTCTGGCCAATGTCTGGCCTCCCTATGTGCCTGACTCTTTTGGCTGATTTTGGCTCTTGAAGTAGACTACCTTATACTATTAAAATTACAGCTGATATATTATTGAACATTGCATTAGCTTTCAATCAGAATTCTAATGATCAAATCATTCTGATCCAAAGTGTGTAAAACTACAGGAGCAGTCTAATTCCAGGCACGGACTTCGGTCACTTTCTCAAGTTATCTGGAGACCGGCCAGCCCACCATATTCACCTCTAAATCACAGTTAAAATTCCACTCAAAGAGCAAAGGCTTCATTTCCCTTGACTCCATTTTATCGAGATACAAAGGATTAAAAAAACAACAACAACAAGAAGTGCTGTGTGTTTTATTCTGGGTTCGGTTAAAAAAAAGCAAAAAGAAATGTTCTTTATTGCACAGTGCTTGAAGAGCGGACGTGGTATAGGGAACACGTAGAGAACACGACGACGCGAGCTTTATTCACTAAAACGACAGCCTTCAGTATCTCCAACACACCATGCCCCGGGCCCGAGATAATCACCCGCCCCTCCAGCCTGCATCCTGAGAGATGGGAAATCCACTGAGCTGAGCTGAGCCGCTGGAATAGAGAGAATAAAACCCCCCTGGATGGCGCCAGGGCGAGAGCTGCAGATAAACAGCTCCCTGTGCCATTCATGTTCCCTCTGCGCGTCACTGCCAGCCGACTCCCACGGTCTCTGGGACTCTGGGACTCGGGGGGGATGGACGGGGAGATGGGAGACAGTGGTGACGGAATTCACAGTAAATCAACGCCATTCCTCGTTAAAGCTCGAGAGCTAATGAAATGAAGGCTCCCGTGCTTGTAGTCTGTTGTACGGAGTGGGCTGCAGTACTTAGGAGGGAGCAGTATTAGCAATACTAATGGGATGTATTCTGCTACCTGTTCTGCTCTCCCTTGGTCGTGATCCGCCAGAGAACAGGAGCCCGATTCCATGCCACAGACGGCGGTCACAGTTGGCTGTCAGTACGCAACAGTTGGTGTTAAAGTGGCTCCTGCGGTACAGGGCGCCTGTGAAACAGGATCTCTTTCAGTGCTGAAAGAGGCAATGTGAACATCAACTATTGCTATTATATACCCAACCACAAGGCGGGGCTAAAAGCCAATGCTCCAATGCTGTGTGCCCCGGGGCAACAGGCAGCATGATCACCTCCGCAATGGTTCGAGCAGTAATAGTTCCAACTGCACACAGATGGAAATTTCGTTTTTGGAAAATTGGTCTCTCTGCTTTTCAGCGTCTTCGGGCGCGGACCTTACATGAAATCTTGTGGGGGGAAAAAAAAACACACACTGCGGTGAAGTCATTCTGGACAAAATTCTCACTGGCAGCCCCAGGGAGAGAAAAGTACTTTCAGAAAAGCAGACGGAATGGGGATAAGAAGGATTTACGCTGAGGTGTGTGGGGGGGTCCGTATGCTAAAGAGATCCGTCTAAATGGATCTGAAAGCATTGGCAACTGCCTCTGCTAATTTACAGCTCATAAAGCTGTCAGCCGCAGGTCTTACAGTCGCTGAGGGACTGTGCTTATTAACCTGTCAGCACAGCCAGGCGCAGTGCTGCCAAAGTCTCACCCTTCTGATGTGCACCTGGGGGACTCGGTGCCCATAGACACTCTCCTTCTCAGCGCCAGCAAGGGTGCCCAGTCATGGCCCGTCAAAGCCCAGGCGGGCATGGTAGGAGCCGGTCAAGTAAAAAGCATGCACAGGAAACCTGCTCTGACTCTCAATGCACACTGTACAAGCAAACCTTTGAAATATCATTAATGTGGCACACAATGGGGAAAAGGCATATTAGAATTCAGTAATGAGCAAGTGACATCATGGTAAGGCACGGAGAGGTATGATAAGCCACGATACAAGAGCCTTGTGCAGCCAAAGCAAACCAAGTACAAGCACTGAAAAGCAACAGGAAACCTGTAGGATTACCGTGCAAATTTACTTGGGACAGGTACAGTGATGCTACAGTACCAAATCAGCATTCTGAGTGTC